ATACAAAAAAATAAGTTACTAAAAAGACATGGAATACCTATGGAATTTTTTTGGTTTGGGAATGTATCCTCATCTGTAGAAGAGAGTGTTTCCCAACATTATTTTTTTAAATACAGGAAAAAGAGCACACAATTTATTATGTGCCTAAGGCATGGAAGTGTTAGATTCCAGTTCCCTGTTATTCTTTTTAAAAGCATATTATTGATATCTTCAAAACTATATCAAAATAGGGTAATAGTATAAAAATGGCCATGTATCCATTATTACCATTAATATTTATCAATGTATGTCCAATCTGGTTTTATGGGTGTCTCCCCAGTTTTCCCTACGCTATTTCCCTTCGCTTATTTATCTGAAACAAATCCTAGGCCTTATATTATTTTTTCTCACATTTTTTAAAATTGGTGCATTATAGTTGTACATATTGATGGGATTTGTTTTAACATATTTATCTGTATTTGCATACAGCACTCAATATAACAATATAATTTGGCCAATATCACTCGTTCAGCACTTCCCTCTCCCTCTCTCTCTCCCTACCTTCCACCCTTGTGTCTTTCCTGTACTAATCTCCCTTTGATTTTTCATGAGATCTACTCTCATCTTTTTTCCCCCTTTAAATCCTCTCTAGCTTCCACATATGAGAGTAAACATATGACCCTTAACCTTCTGAGTTTGACTTGTTTCACTTAACAATGATCTCTAGTTCCATTAGTTTTCCTGAAAATGCCATAATTTGTCTTTATGTATGTATATATTTTCTGTATTCATTCTTCAGTTGCTGAACACCTAGGCTTGTTCCATAGTTTGGCTATTGTGAATTGTGTTGCCTATAAATGTGGGTATGCATGAATCATATATTAAAGTATGATGACTTTAATTCTTTTGGAAAAATACTGAGGAGTATGGTATAGTTGGGTTATATGGTGGTTCCATTCCTACCAGGCCTCATATTTTAATTGTAAAATCTTCAATATGTATCTCTAACTTCAAAAAAACGTGTAAGTGCAATGCTACCTTCATATCTAAAAAATCTGAGCTGGG